GTTAGACCTGTAGTTAACTGACACTCAATAGAATGGGTTTTGATTTGATGTTATTGATTTAGGTAATTGCTGCTGATGGTGAAATGAATGCTTCCCGTTCTCTCAAAGAAGCAGCAGACATCATTGCAGAGAATGCTCAAGCTCTTCAACTTCGCTATCTCCARACACTCACAACTATTTCTGCTGAGAAGAACTCAACCATAATTTTCCCTCTTCCAATTGACTTCATGAGCCGCTTTCTCCCTGACAAGTAATGCATTTCTTGCTGTACACATGCATGCAGAGCATGCCATGTAGGCTTATCAGCACATAAATTATTTAAAGGAAATTATCTACTGTAGTGGAAATGAGAATGCAAAGGGGGCCTGATATTTCTTTGATATATACATTGAATGGCCCCATATGATGAATATATTGAATACTTAGATTATCATAGAAATACAATTTCATAGGCTAATGTAATTACAGTGTATGTATAGCATGCATAATAGCAGTTGGCGAGGGTCTAAAKAGGAGACATTACTTCTGCTAAAATATTTAAAATCTGTAGGATATGCACAGAATATATAGAAAGTGGTTAGACGTTAGTGTGTTTTAAAAGCTGGATCAGTTTCACAAGTAGTTAATATTTTGAAAGAAAGATTAAAATAGAAAAAATCCACTCTTACATTGGAAGTAGAGTACAGCATGAATGCCACAGTATATCTGCCTGTGGTTTATCTTTATATTTGATGAAGCTGAAAGATTTTAGCTTATGTTTTACAATTTGGAGAATGATTTTACCTATTAAATAAGGTGATGGAATTGTTGCTGAGCAACTAATTGTTCACTACAACAACATAACTATTATGTGCAAGCATATTGAACAATAKTATCATTGAATGTAGGTTCAGACAACTGGGAAATAGTGGAGAAACCATAATTATATAATAGATTGATCTTTGATTTAAATGATCTAAAGGACATGGATGAATCCTTTCTTGTACCCTCCCCTCCCTGCTAAATTCCTTGTCACCCTTATCTATGTCCAATCATTAATAACTTGATGTCTTTTGAACCYGCTTTTCCTATCAATGTCGGAGTGGTTATCAAAAGAGTGGCAGGTGTCATTCTTCTAATGTTGGTGGGATGGTACAAGAATAGGGCAAACCAAACAACCATCATTCGCAGTCCACATTATKCATAATAATAACTTCCTGATATGTTTTTCAATGTTCTGATAATTCTATTTAGTGTCAGATAAGTACAGTTAATAAATATAGTATTAATAATTATAGTAGACTGTTCTGGTCAAACTACGTCAKTAACATATGGGTCATCCATGATTATGGCTACTGACAACTGTCGCTACTGACAGATAATGGTCTACAGTCAAACCTCTATTACAGTAGCCCTGTGTAACAGCCAACCACMCTCACTTGTCATTTATATTATCATCTGTAAAAATGACATCCAAAGTGCCTTTATTTACAATCCACCATGGTATTGTTTCCAATCCTACTATAGTAGAGGTTTAACTTATATTAAATATTAATATATAATTCTGTGAATTAGTGGAAATACTAAGTTTGATGAAATAAATGTTTTAAATTTAAACATTCAACAAAATCTAGTGTAAATATTTATATTGATATGTTTGTTTTGTCTATGAATTAAGGTCCTACTTAATATGCAGTCTTTAGTCTTTTGAAAAAGTTACCAATGGGAGTGCAAAAATTATGCATTGAAATGGTATGATGGCAAATATATAGCTAGACCAAACGCAATGTTTTAGAGTCTGCCAAATCTATATGTCAACAATAATGGACTGTTTTCTTACATCTAATTGATGCAAAACCTAGAAAAAAGAACATAGTACTTTATTATAATTTCGACCAACACATGCATCATGCCTAACTCATCCTCATAGCATGCAGCTACAATATTTTCATAAGGA